ATCAAATAGAGGATAAACATCTCATTTTAAATATAAAAAATCTAAAATATAATTAAGATAATCATTAATATTTAACAAAATACTTAATTATTATCTTTATAAAAAATTATATAAAAAAACCAAAAAAAAAAAATTAGTTAAAGAAATTACATAAAAAAGAGAAATTTTAAATTGTTAGTTTTGGTAATAATATCAAATATTTTTTTTCAATTTTCTCATATTTATATTTTATTCAAAAATAAAAACATTATCATTTTTTTTTTCTAAAAACCACATAAAACCGTATTATAACATCGTCTAAGACAAAAAAAGAAACATAACATTAAAATCGAGATGTATCTCGCTACATTGTGCGAATACCTTTCTAGTATTTAATAAAAGTTCATACATTTTGTACTTAATTTTGTAAATCAACAAGAAAAAAGAACAATCGACTAATTTTTAATTTTTAATATAAATGATTAATGAGCTTACAATTTACAAGATTAAAGAACAGACCTAATGGATTATGCTAATATATATCCATTTAGGGACCGTTTATCCAATTGTTTATCCGATAAGCGCTTATCGATAGGAGTCAATACTATGATATATTTTGATCCGTAAGATTTTAGTATATCAAAACATATCGAATGCAACAATTTACTGGGTAAGCGCTTACCTGGGTATTAAGTGACACAACAGTATCACTTTAATTTTTGTTTAGAACTATACGTTAAACGGAAATTGCTTTCTAAGTAGTAAATGTAAATTTTAACTTCGTTAAAAACAAAAGGTACAAAAAAATCATTGGTTTGCAGAAGGACTGATAGAGCAATCTGATATTACTTTATTATGTTAACTCATATTGAAAGTTGATCATCAATCAAATATTTAAATCTTATATAAATTACTTAAAAGTTGCAAAAATATCAGTAGTTCTTTTTATAAGGTTTGATTACCAAACAACTGATTAGTTGTATTTGCATAAATACGTTATTAACTTTATATCTTATGCCATAATAATAATTGTCTCTTGACTTAAATTATTCTAGTTAGGTCGTTACTTGCCTAAAATGGTCTTGTTGATAAAACTTGACTGCAGTTAAAATTGATCAATCTAACTGTTTCTTTTATCTATGGTTGAGACAGATGAAAATCCTAAATATTACTGTAATTAATATGTCCATCATTATCTTCAGTAATTTTTGTTGTTTTCTTCTTTAGGAAACCCTAAATTTCCATAATTTGCTATTAGAGCAAAAAGAAGTTGTACCACCAAACTAAGCAAAATCTAACAATCAAAACTGTAACTGATATAACGATGTTTTGGTAACAGTCAGTAATATGGGTAATTTGTTAACAAAGATTAGACATTTGAGGGACTTCTATGTTCTTATTAGAAGGAAAAGGACTAGAGTGAAAGTGTGATAAACAAGTTCAAAGTATATCATGAATGAATGATTGTTTTGAAGTATATACTTTTTATATACGGCAAATAAAATTCACTCACGCTTTCTATTTATGGTAATAAAATTCACTCATATATATGTTACGTTGTTCTCTATGAATTATACTAAATTGTTGTTTTGTTATTTCATTGAATAACAATTTGAAGACAAAAATAAGCATTTTACCCCTAGTAGACTTGAGATCATGTGAGGCCAAATATTTTTCGTGAGAGCCATAAGACCAATTCTCAACCCTTGTATTAAATCTACAATCTGAACATTCATAATCACAAAATTGTCATGAGACTTCTCAATAATCACAAAATTGTTGGTCTATTGGGTTGAATACAAAAGCTATCTCCTCCATTTTTGTTAACCATCTCATTCCTAATGAACATAATTCATATATTTGAACCAAGGAAAATATATTTTTCATTTTGCTCCAAATTCTCATTTTTAATTTGCTTTAAATGTCATGAAAGAGATGATTGGAAGAATCCAGAAAGTACCACATACTATTTTTGGGGTGTAACCATTCAAAATGGAGAAATTAGGCTTTTAGTTTTAAAATTAAAACTTTTAACAAAATGACATTGGATTATTCTGTTAGCATCGTTAAATGCATAAAGGACCTATATGCAATTTAGGAAAGTTATGATTTAAAATAAATAAATATTCAAAATAGGTCATACGCTTACGTACCGTGCACCGGTCCTTGCGTTAGGGATCCACTTTTGATTTTTTAATTTTAATTCTTTTAGAAATATAATTTTGTTTAGAAATTTAGTCTTTCTAAATTTTTTTTTGTTAGAAATTTAGTTTTTTTTCTTAATTTTTTTAAAAATTTAATTTATCTTGTTTAGAACTTTATTTTTTTAATTTTAATTTGATTTTTTTAGATTTTTTTTGTTAAATTTTGTTTTCTAAAATTTAATATTCATTTGTTTTCTAAAATTTAATATTCATTTTTCTCATTCTCAATACAATATTATTTATTTTTCTTCTTCCTAATATAACACTATTTATTTTCTTCCTTCTCAATACAACATTATTCAAATTTTTATAAAAAAAGTTTATTTTTTTTAGAAAAGTTTATTTATTAAGAAAAGTTTTAACTTTTTAAAAAAAATATTTTTTAAGAAAAGTTTAACTTTTTTAAAAAGCTTTATTTTTTTATAATTTAATTTTTTTTCTTAAAAATTTAAAGATCCGATTTTTTTTAAGTTTAATTTAATTTTAGAATTCTTTTTAGAAATTTAATATTTTTACAGAAAAAAAATTAAAGACCCGATTTTTTTAAAAAAATTATTTTTTTAAGTTTAATTTAATTTTAGAATTCTTTTTAGAAATTTAATATTTTTATAGAAAAAAAATTAAAGATCCGATTTTAAAAAAAAATAATTTTTTTCCTTCAAAAATTTAAGAAAATTTTAAAGATCCGAATTCTTTTTTTTTTTAAATTTTAATTTTTTTTTCCTTCTTTTCAATACAACATTTTTTTAATTTCCTCAATATAACACTATTTAATTTTGTCTTTTTCCTTCCTACCCCACTATGTAAACAATACAAATTCCATATCACCAACACTTAAATCTCCTTTCTCTTAATACAATCTTCATTACCAACATTTAATCGTCTAAATCATAGTAAGTTTACTTATTTGATTTTTTTATATAATTTCATTTTTACAATGTATTAATTTTGACAGCATATTGATACGTGGACATATTTGCTGATGAAAGAGAGACCTGATGGATTACGACGTACAATATTATGGTCCAAGGCATTAGAGTTTATGTCACAAGATTCACTACAATATATAAATTTGATGGATGAAGTATTTCCAAATATGATTATTGATTTATAATGATCCATTAATTTTATATCTGCCTTGGTGGTCAATGTAAACGGATGTCATTGGGTCACGACAATTCTAAAACTACAGACGTGGATGATCCGCATATATGATAGCATGATCAGTCCCAGCTCTTTAGCTGGTTGCCTACAAAGAATTGAACTTTTGAAATATAATTTCCCAAAATACTTACATAAGATCAATTTTTGACGTAAAAAAGAAAAAAAATGTGCCTTAAGACTAGAACCTTAGACATGTTTATATCTCCAATGTCCTTCAACACGCACCAAACTTGGAAGATTGTGGCGCTTTTGCTTGTTGGTTTATGACAGAAATAATGGCAACTGGTGATATAAGTTGTATTAATAGTTACCCTGCTTACGACCCTAAAGTTCTTAATGGAACCTCTCATATGTATCTTGCTAATGAGTTATACAAAAACCGTAGTCGGTAACATATGAGAAAGTTGTGTACTGAGTATAAAGTTATAGTTTTTGTTACATTTATCTAGTTACGAAACAATAAATATAACATAATACAAAACTGAAAACACAATATGATCACAAAATACCTAATAAAAATTTATTACCTGAGTATTGAGTTGTCACATCGGTATTAAGTTGTCGCCTCGGTATTTTGGTATATATACCTCCATAATCTTAGAAAAATTTACAACAACACAAACTATTAAACTCTCTCTACCAAGCAGCATCATCATCGTCAAACCCTCCATCTTCTCAAATAATGCCTACCACGATGAAGAGATCAATTGAAAAAACCGAAGCTGTAATACAAGATATATAACAAATGGCATAGTAACAAGACATTGCAGAATCAAATCCTCAAAGGGATCGAAGAGAAGAAGAAAACAGTAAAACAACTACAAAAAGATGCAGAAAGTTTTTATTTTGGAGATTTTTCTTTTCAAGATAAAAGCACCAAGTCTTGTATTAATAAAGTTGTCTGTGATTAATCTGACTGTGTAGATGCAAAAAGTTTTTATTTTAGAGATTTTTCTTTTCTGCATAACCCCCAGAAGCTACTTAGGGGCTGTTTACCAAATTTTTTATTAAGTCCTGTATGGATAAATTTGTCTGTTCGGATAAATGAGTGTTGTTGTTTATTTTTTTTATATGAACCAACAGTCTGAATAACGTAAATGACCGATTTACCCTCCAATATTAATTATTTGAACATCAAACAAAAAATCATAAAAAGACCGAATATGGGATGTCTCATATGGGAAGGAGGCAGTGCTTTAAATATATAAGGGGTAGGGGTGTCATTTTTGTGGCTGAATGAGGACAACACACCATCTCTATCTATGTGATTAAGTTATGTTCTGTGCAAATAAGCCGTAAGTAAACAACCGAAATGAGCTGTGCGAATAAGTCAGATAGAGCAATAAGCCTAATTAAGCAGCAAGTAAACAACCCCTTACTATATCATCAAATCACTATCAAACAGTCATGTATAACTGATTGAATAAGTTGCGAGTCCCATTAAATTGCTAACAAACAAACTCCAAATGTCAATAGACGGTTGATAGGACTTAAATTTATAGAACCAAACAATATTTTTTTTTTTTATCTAACACAATAAGTTTATAGGATGTCTTTTGGGCATATCAACAAGCTTTCTAAAACATTTAAACAATAAAGTATCGTATTAGTTATTTTCAAATATGAGACATTAAGCTCATAAATCTACCTTAATCTAATCATGCAAAAAGGTCCGCTTTTATCGTGGTATTACCAATATAACAACACTTGCGTATATACATAATGCAGTCAAAACGAGCATAGTATCATACATTCTGCAAAAAAGGTACGACACCACCCTCTAGAGTGTCCCATTGTACCGCTCCCGTGACCTTGGTCATGGGAGCGGTACAACCATGTGTTGTCTCGGGGACGGGTGGATGGTACCTGGAGTCAAACCACAAACCTGTTACTTATTCAGCAAGAATGTCTACCTCCTTACCTGTCAGGTCACGGCCACTACCACTTGTACTGGTCGGTGACCAGGGTATCATACATCGTAACCAGGATTAACTGTTTGTTGAACATCACCATAACTTTCCAACTCTTCAATATCATCTGGGCTTCCCAAAAACAAAGGAAGTCTTTGATGCAGTTTAACCGGTTGAATCGACAAAATTCTGTTCTTCCCATCGGACCCTTTGCCGCCAGCTTGCTCCACCACAAAACTCAGAGGGTTTGCCTCGTAAACGAGTCGAAGATGATCACGTGGATTCATTGCCACTCCACCGTACATTAGAGTTCTATGCAAATCAGCGACTAACGAACATATATAACGTGCAGAGTACTTTTTAGGAAACTTGCCTTTGCCTTGCCTGATGGTGTCGATGTATCGCCTCAGACCCTCCGGCCAGTCAAAATACCGGGCGTCGTTTACCGAATATATTTGACCTGACAAAACAAGCACGACACTATCAGTAATCTGCAACAAGTCAAGCATTGCATTCTTTTGGGACATTCGGAGTATATTTTCTATCGTTTATCATGATCCAATACAACATTACGGATTACCTCGAGGAGGAATTTTGATGTTTGGATGTGTGAGAACGAAGTCTCCGGTCGAATGATCCAAAGTGAACGCGTGTGATCCAGAACCGAAGGTGGTGCAGATTATGGTGGCCGATGAATAAAGGACATAGCCGGCAGCAATAAGCCGACTGCCACTCTGTAGCGAATTCAGCATCGCCTTTTCGTCCACCGGAAGGCTATCGAGTTCTACAAGCCGATTATAGATTCCGAAGATGGTTCCGGTGGGGATAGAAGCATCGATATTACGAGAACCATCTAGAGGATCCGTAACCACCACGAATGGGGCATCATCGGCTATCCAAGTAGGAGCATCGTCTTCTTCTGAAGCCATAACAGCAACTTTTCCAGATTTTCTTAAGGAAGACAAGATGATCTCATTCTGGGAATACAAAAGATTTGAATAAAATCAAGAAAACCGAAATTTGATCGTATGCCTAATTCAAGATGATCTCATTAGGTGTTCGATCATATGCCTAATTCAAATTTCAAAGCATCACTCCTTGGTTGTATCAAATTTGCAACAATTTCCGTTTGGGGATATACGAAAACTGCAAAATTTCCCCTTTTTTGGAATGATTCAAGGTTAAAAAGCTCCCATTGGGAATCATATGATCAAGGAGTCAAGGACTACAGTAATCACAGAGACATTTTGGATACAAGAACAGGTGAAATTTACTAGGGTTTGAATCTTCAAAACCAATTTCGGATTCTGTTCATGGGAAGAGGGATTGCCCAAAACAGCAGTTCGATTGTTCTTCACAGATTAAATGTATTCAAATCAGCAGGAAATCAGTAAAGGGTATTGTAAGAAAAGGAACCCTCGAATAGTCGCATTAGAGATTGATAAATACGTACAGAAACAGTGTCGAGCGGCTTGGGTTTATCTCTACCGGAGCTTACATCTTCGCCACCGCCGGAGGTTCTTCCGAGGCTGGAATTGGCCGGAGAAGCAACAAGAGCAGCAATTCTCTTGAAAGCATACTCTAAGTGGCTAAACAAAACCACCAAATCGTCACCTACATCCACCCCTCCCTTGCCGGCGTACTCGGAAATTGTGAGAAACCCGTCACTGTTGTTATCCAATTTTGAATTCATCTTAAACCTACCGAAAGAAGTAGAAGAAGAAGCCATGTTTGTACTGCTACGGCGGTTGAGGAATTCCGGACGGAGACGAAGTGGGTTTAGCGGGAATTTTGGTGGGAAACTGGGGGTGAGGTTGGAATTTTGTATCGTGGCTGTGATGGTGGTGGTGATGGGTGATTGCATTCTATGGCTGTGGAGCTCGGAAGCGATGGTTGGAATTGCCTGCTAAAAGTAAGTGAAATGATTTCTTTAATATTATTGGAAATTTCTAAAAAGAAATTCAAAACTTACTTTTATAATTTTTTATTATATTAATGTATTTTTAAATTATTTTTTATTAATATATTTTATTTTGAAAATTTACGTATTGAATTTATCTATACTATACTAGAAGGGTATTCGTGCAATGCAGCGATTTAAATCTCGATTTTAATGTTTAGTTTTTTCTTTATCTCTATCGATATAATACGATTTTATATGTTTTGAGAAAGTGATAATGTTTTTATTTTTGAACGAAATATAAATTTGAAGATAGAATAAAATTTTGAAAAAAATAAATCGATATTAGTATAAAACTAGAAGAGTACTTGCACAATGCAGTGAGACATATCTCGATTTTAATGTTCTATTTTACTATTTGTTTCTGTCGATGTTATACTACGATTTTATGTGTTTTTAAGAAAACAATAATAATGTTATTTTTGAATAAAATATAAATTTGAATATATCATAAAATTTTGAAAAAAAAAATATCAATGTTAATATCAAATCAACTATTTAAAAGTTCTATTTTTTTATATAATTTCTTTAATTTATTTTTTATTATAATTTAATTTAAGTTTA